GGGACTTAACAAGGTAAGGGAGGACACAGAACTCCTGGCCTTTTCCATTCCAAGGGGGTCTCCCCCTCAGAATTCAGGCAGTAGAAGGGTATGAAAGGGAAGGAATGCCAGGTACTGAAAGGAACTGTGCGTGGGCCTGCTTCTTTCATTAGCTTGAGAAAGGATTTTATCTTTATTTCCAAGTGATTTCCTTTCCCCACTGGATGTTGGAGCACAGCTCCCTCCCTGGGGCAATGGATGCCCCTCACTCAGCTGCTTTCTCCCAGCATTGCCTTGAAACTCCCAGCCGTCATTAGAAGCCCCCAGGGAGCCACCAAGCTCAGAGAAGGAAAAGAAGGGTTCCCCCTATACCAGTCAAACAGACCTAGGAGGGGGACAGGGTGGAAAGAATGAAAGAGAGAATGCAAAAGCTCTGCAGAGGGAGGAGAGAAATGTGATCAGTGGTATTTGTTGTACTTCGAGGGAGGAAGGATCCGTCACATTTTTAATAATAATAAATACATGAAGACAGATTTGCCAGCACTGCTGCAGCTCCTTAGGAAGTGTGGGGGAGGGGAGCCAATGCAGCTGCAGCACGGACTACTACCCCCCTCCCCTCCCCCATTAGATAGGCTCAGAATTGCAGCAGCTTTCCCCTCCCCCTCTAACCGCAATCCTCCCCATCACAGCCCACCCTTTCCCTGGTCTCTTCACACAGCTCTGCCTCTCCCTCCACCACCTCTATCCCTTTCTACTCCCTCCTAACCCCAGACTCTTTCTTTTCTGCACTGGTCCTCATTTAACATGGTCTTACTCCAGCTCTCAGAAACCCTAGTACCCATGGAGTCCTCCCCTAATCCTGAGGCCCTGCTCTTTCCTACCAGGCCCCTTTCGGCTACTGGCAATCTCCCCCATACAACACCCCCACAGAACTAATCCGGTACATTTCAGCATTTCCTGAATTCCATCAAAAAGGGCTGGTTTTCCCCCCTATTTTTATTTCAATGTGACCTCCTTTCTCACAACCTTAAATATAAGGGCCATTAAATGTGCTTGTGTTCTGGGGGTGTCAGGGCCTGGGGACTAGGTGACTACTGCCACCTACTGACCCAAATTTGTTCAGGACAGACCTTTAATATACTTCTTACACAGTAACACTCTGTTATTTCAAGAGCATCAATAGCTTAAACATGCGAAGGCACGGCTCTTGGGGCTTCTCTGAGACCCTCTCAACAATGAGATCAAAGAAATACAAAAGCAAGACTGGGCAGAGAGCCAGAGCAGTGATGCCTTTCTCCATACAGAGGCAGAAAGAGAGGCTGAGCACAAGAAATGAAGGAACAAGTTTAAGTCTCCTCAAGGGTCCATAAGCAAAGAATAGGGAACAGAGTTCCTCTCAAGAGTTGTTTAAAATTTTGTGCATCATGATATGAATGATGTTACCTCCTGTCCAGTTAGTTCAGCCAGAAAAGGAAAAGGCAGGAGTTTACCCACAAGCTTCCATCAAGTTGGCCAAATCCTTGAATAAGTCTAAATATGGATCTGAGATTTACACACCTAATAGATCCCAGGGAGGACAGGGATACTCAAGATTGTTGCAGACTCTCAATCTGCTACTAATCAGAACAGGAGATTGGACAGATACACTGGGATCTGCAAAGTGGCAGATCTATACCATGCAGCTTTCTGGATTGGCTTAGCTATGTACCTTCCACCAACAAAGGCAGGAAGATGAGAAAGCCTGAACTCTCCATGGTACTGAAAATGGACGCAATCAAGCCATCCCTTCCTTATATTTTTCTAATAAAAATACATCCATGAAGATTGCTGTGAACTCCTGACAAACATTTCCCCAAGCTGACATAAAACAGCAACAAAAATACGCAAAAAGAGGTCTTGGTCAAACTCTCCTCCCCCTTCCTCAGATGAAAAAACTAAGGTAGAGATACTAAATTACTTGACTAAAGCAAGGCCAAAACTCTTTTTACCATGACAAAACTGAACAAGTGCTCACATGCACTAATGACAGACATTACTTAGTGAACATTGGAAATGATCTGTTGTTAGCACTTCACTGAGGAAACCTGACATTCATGCAGTCTGAACAATCAGATAACTGAATATATGAGTAGTAATAAAGAAATAAAAAAGCAAACAAGAGCCATAAAGAAACCCCGAGATTCTAACTCTTAGCTCCGTTGCTCTACCATTGTAACAGTAGTTTTCAAACTACATTCTATGGAATTTGAAAGGTTGCTTGGAGCTACTCAGGAATCTTGAGAAAAGCAGACTATGAGAACATAGAGCTCCAGAATCCTTCAGCCCCACTTTAAAGTAACTTCACTTATCCAAGTAAAACTGTCAGTGTACTCCACATGGTATTTGATGACCCTGGGGCAAATATTCTCAGAAATTATTTAACATTTCGTTGGAAACCCCTTTTAAATAGTGCCTATCATCTAGAAAACCAGGAATAACAAGATATCCTGGGATTAAAGACTGGATTGAATTAATATACAATCCACAAGGTAGGAGTTTTTTTTTTATTTTTTTTTAAGATTTTTTTTTAAGATTTACTTATTTATTCATGACACACACACACACACACACACACACACACACACACACGAGGCAGAGACACAGGCAGAGGGAGAAGCAGGCTCCTCGCAGCAAGCCCGATGTGGGATTCGATCCCAGGTCTCCAGGATCACGCCCTGGGCCAAAGGCAGCACCAAACCACTTAGCCACCCAGGCTGCCCAAAGGTAGGAGTTTTTGTTTGTTCAGTTAACTGGTATACCATGAAGAGGGCAAAATAGCATCTGGAACTTGTCGTTTCTTTGACAGCAAGACCTTGAATAGAAATGGGGCAGTAGGCAAGGGGGAGCTAGAGGCTATACACTACCTACCGCTATTTTTAAAAAGGAAAAAAAACAACCTGAAGACTTTCATGAACCCCAAGACACTTGAGGGCCTGCATACTCTGTTCTTGTCTAACTTATAAACCATGTAACCTTGGGCAAACTGCTTAAGTGTCTCAGTTTCCTCACTGGTAAAATATAGAGATGGTATATAATTTGTAAGGACTATGTATAAAGCTCTTAGCTTAGTATGTATCACAAAGTAAGATTTTAGAAAAAAAGTGATCACTTTCCCTTGGAAGTTCCCATAACCCAAAAATCTTAATAAATTCAAAACAAATGCAATAGTTATTCTTAAGCGAATGCAATGGTCCTAACAAAAGTGTTTTTGAACTGAACCTCCTGTCCAGTTAGTTCAACCAGAAAGGGAAAAGAATCTCTGAACTTGTTCTTGTGGCTCTTTGCTTAGATTCACTGGAGCAAACAATTATGAGGGTCCTGCACAGGTCAGGCTCCCTCAGGTCTGCCAATGACTAATAGTTCAAGGCCCCAGAAATAAGCCCATCCTGGAAGGAATCTCAGAGATTCAGTCTAACACATTCATTTTTCAGCTAAGGAAAATTGAAGGCCAAGGACGTTAAGCGATCTGCCCAAGATCAGAGTGAATAGTTGACAGTCCCAGGTTATCTCTTACTTTCTATTAAGGCTACAGCTGCCTAAAAACAGACCCCACCCTATTGGGCAGACCCGTGTAAATCCAAATTCACAGGACTCAGAATCAGTAAGAATTTAATGATGTAGAACCTAATTACACCTCTCTCCATGACACTGTCCAGGAATGCCAACACAAAATTAGCTCTTTATGAAATCCCAAGACCTCATAAAAACTCCAATGAATTTATTCTACAGATTCAACTTCTGTCCCTTCCTGTTCCTCTTTTCACTTTCTGTATTATCCAAGGCTTGATGGATGTCTTACCAACAAAGGTCATTCTATGGGCAGAATACAAGATCTCAAGTATGTAACTCCTACCGGTCTCTTGACTTGGACTGATAGTTCTGTGAGATTCTCAATCTTTTGGTCTTCAAGCTAGGAATTTTCTGCCTGCCTATTCCTGGCACTCTTTTGCAAGCTCTTTGTAAAAGGACTGGCCTTTACTGACAGGTAAACTGGAGCCTTAGTTGAGGGAGGGACAAAGAGGCTACAAAACACAAGACTATACTGATTCTTCATACTCTAGTCTTCTTGTTCACTCTGCGATTCTCTCCAGATAAATTCTGGAACTTACCAAAGATTGGCCCAATATTTATGCTATTTTAGAAAGAAAAAAACGTTCAGAAGTGGAGACAAGGGCAGCCTGGGTGGCTCAGTGGTTTAGCGCCGCCCTTCAGCCCAGGGCCTGATCCTGGAGATCCAGGATGGAGTCCCCCGTCAGGCTCCTTGCATGGAGCCTGCTTCTCCCTGTGCCTGTGTCTCTGCCTCTCTCTCTCTCTCTCTCTCTCTCTCTGTGTCTCTCATGAATAAATAAACAAAATCTTTAAAAAAAAAAAAAAAAAAAAGGGATCCCTGGGTGGCGCAGAGGTTTGGCGCCTACTTTTGGCCCAGGGCGCGATCCTGGAGACCCAGGATCGAATCCCACATCGGGCTCCCAGTGCATGGAGCCTGCTTCTCCCTCTGCCTGTGTCTCTGCGCCTCTCTCTCTCTCTGTGACTATCATAAATAAATAAAAATTAAAAAAAAAATAAAGATCTTCCTTTAAAAAAAAAAAAGAAGTGGAGATAAGAGTAACTTGTCAATTGGGAAAGCTTCTATATAGCTTTTCCTAGTCAGGTATCAACGGGGGTTTCCTGAATCACTGATGCCACCTGGTGGGCAGCATGATTCATTATCAAAACCCACACATTTAATATGACTTGTATTTAATTATAACAAATAATTCACAAACTTGTGGCAATGTGGGTTGGAAAAGTTGACTACACTAATCTTCCAATATTTTTTGTTAAATAACCAATTTATCATTTCTGAGGAAAATATACTATCAAAGGAAACTTTGATATAAAAGCCAAACTTTTCTCACTCCCTCTCCAAAATTTCACCTTTCCCTTTTATTACCCTCACCAAAAATACCCCATACCCAATGATTCCAGTCATACAATACATGTGCAAAAGGGGCTTCAAAAATAAAATCAATTTTATTAATAAAGATCTTTCCACATATCCAGAACAATCAAGGAATTCCAAGAGAATAAAACCTACATACAGTGAAATTAAAGAAGTATCCCAGGATGACAACAAATATACACATAAATATGCACACCCATAATCACCGCCGCCTCCGAAAACCTGAAAGGAAGGGAAACCAAGAATGAGGCAAAGGAGAGTTGGAAAGGCTGAGGGGACAGAAAAAAAGAACACCTAGAGAGAAGGACTCAAGGGTGGGTCCCCTGGGCAGTACTCTCTCCATCCTCCCGGGGCCAGAGACTAGAAGTAGGAAGGAAACTGAAGTAGGATAACAGTTCATTCAGGTGACACTTTCACAGTTCTACTTAAGGAAGCCTGCATACAAACTGTGGGATCTTAAAGACAGATTCCAGAAATCTTTTTTGTGAATGATGCTGATTTTCGACTTGACAAAGAACAAAGCCCACCTCTACAGAGACCAACGCCCAGTCAGGAGGAGATACTAGAAACACTGGTGAGACCTAGGATGGCAAATCTGGAGAGCTGACAACCCAATTTGTACTGTCTACCCTGCACTTCACTATCCTAGTCCTAGCCATTCACTGACCTTTTTTCTTCTGACCTTTCTTCAGTATCTTCTTCCGCTTCTTGATAGGATTCTGATCCTGGAGACAGATGGAGAAGTGAAGGGATGGATGGTGGTATACTTCCAAGTGTTAGCATCTCTTCCCGCATTCCACAAGGTAATGAGCCCTGTGTACATCTGGCTGAAATCAAGGAGGCTATCTCCCTGTGCCCGTGTCTCTGGGCCACAACCTTACCTCATCAAGATGAGGGGTTCCTCCTGTCAAAGCACTGATGTCACTGAAGTGTGTGAGGGAATGGAGTTGTGAGCTCATGACATTTGCCCGTTTTCGCCGTCCTTTCTCGCGTTTACTAACACTTAAACGCACCATCATGCTCTCCTCATAGTTAATCCTGCCACAGAAACACAGATAGTTTACAACATGCTTAGTCCATATGCACAGAAAGCTGCAGCCAAGAATGAGGGCCCAGGTACTCACCCCCTGTTCATACGGTTCTCAAGAAATTTCACAGCAAGTCAACAGAATATGTAAGAGCAAACTAAATGTCCAATATTGAGCTTCCTCAGTGCAATTCTTATACTAGAACTTCCCTCCTCCCTAGAAATGAACTCATAGCCCACCCACAAGAACACTTGAACTATTATACACTGGAACTCTTCTACTTCACCTTCGTAAACAGCATTCCCTACATGGGCCCCTTCATTCAAATCTATCAACAGAGACTGATACTGGGGCAAATCTGGTGAGTCTATATTCGTGGTACAGTTGCTTTTCTGCTTTTCTTCCCTGAACTTATCTAGCACTCTCAATGTCATTATAAAAAACTGACTTCATTGCCTTGTACAGAGGTGAGAGCTGTGATAGCGAAATACAGAATTTTTAAAGCCCCACAGGGTGGAAGTGCACAGACACCCCTCCAAATAGCATTTGCTCCACCTAAACTATTGGGAAAAAGAAAACATTCTTCCTCTAGTTCCTATTCTGTATTTCAGATCCCTAATTCTTAAAAACCATCAGCCCGTTTTCCACTCTACTTTCTCTAGAATATGAGTTCTCTTGATACCAGATTTAATTACATTCATCCAAAGCATAAGGACAGTTTCTATGGTATTGCAAACAATTTCCAATTGCAAGGACTCAGACCTATGTTGATCCTCCTGACTCTGGCGAGTAACATGAGGATGCCGAGCATCACGGATTTCCTCTGGAGCATCTGAGTATTGCTCCTTCAGTTCTCGAATGACAGAGCTGCTCAATGCCCGTTTTTTAGCCCGTTCTAGGCGCTTTTTCTCCCGCTCAGCTTCTGTTTCATCTACGTGATAAAAAATCAACAAGGGTTATCCCAGAACAGAGAAAAGGATAAGAGAGATGCAATTTGCGCTGAGGAGGCAGCAGCCACAATTCATACCATAATGTACTGGAACCAAGCGTGGCGGAACATATTTCTTAATTGTTCCTTTTGCAGATTTCTTCCCTGAAGCTTCAGATTGGCCTTCTTCCGTTTGATCTTCCTCCTCATCCTCAGAGCTCAACTACAGAAAGGAACATAATGTCCATAAACTTAGGAAGTGTCAGACAATAAGAAAAACCAAAGCCCGGAGTACCCTGGGAAGAAAGAAAAATCTCATACTCTATATTCTAAGGCACAAGATGGGAGTCAACAGGAGAATCCCAGGAGATCTGGGATCACCAAGATCCAGCTTAGGGTCCTCAGGAAAATCAGAATAATGCAACCCCTTACCTTGCTCATCATATTGCTGGGATGAGGCTTAAAACGGAGTGGGTCATTCTCACCTGAAATAAGAAACCCGAGAGAGTTTACAAGATTTAGAAATTTATGATGGTCCCGACATAACCTTATAGCTTCTGCCACTTACTGAGGCTGCCTGTCACTGCAGTCTTGACTAGTTTGTCAATTTGATACTTCAGTTTTTGGTCCAAGGGACGAAGCTTTTCCAAAACCTATAATGTGGTTAGACAGGATTACATTATCTCCTCAAAATTAAACATACATCAGAGTCTCTATATTAAGTTGCCAGATAAAGCACCTAAAAGTAGAACAAATGAAGAAGAAAATATTTTTTTCATTTGGCTTCCTTACTTGATCATGAAAACACTAACGTAAATGAGAGCTATTGTGTGACAGTCCTAGAGTTCAGGCTGTGGAAACCTAGAACGCTAAGATGCCAAGTGCTTCATACCGTGCGAATCTCCACCAGTCTCAAAACTGCATGATGTCCCTGAAGAGACCCTCCTGAGGCTTTGTCCAGGATGAGATGGGTTAAATCCATAAGGTACATGAGCAGTAGCTGGTCTTTTACTTCCAAGAGGCTGAGACCCTGAGGTGCACAAGAATAAGAGATGCAAATTCAGTTTTAGCCAGAGAATCAGGAGGAGAGTGGAAGATAAATAGGTTATATTTTCCAAGTTCAAGTTTTTCCCAATCAGTTTATATAAGGCATCTGGAAGAGTCTCAAACAGGTGACTGTACCTAAAATGGCCACAGAGAAAACAATTATGCTAACATGGAAGAAGCAAATCTCTGAGAAGTACTGGAAGACACTAAGGGCAGGAAAAACTTATTGTTTATTGTTACTTTATTAGTATCCCCCAAATAACTATGAGGGTTTCTCAACTTCAGAGCCACTGACATTTGGGAATGGATAATTCTTTGTTGTGTAGGCTATCTGGGCCCTGCAGGATGTTGAGCAGCATCCTTGGCCTCTATCCTTTAAGGCCCCTCCAAGTTTTGATAATCAAAATGCCTCCACATACTGCTGAATCTTAAATTAACTTAATCAAAACAATTATTGATTTTAGCTCCATACAATAGAATTATGTGATACAGTTAAAAACAATGACCTACATATGCTGACATGTCAGCACACTTCCTACACTACGATTACAATTAAGGCAGGGGAAGTATGATGCATACATTTTATTTATTTAAAAGACTTTACTTATTCAGAGAGAAGGTGTGTGCATGCGTGCAGGAGCAGAGGGAGAGAGAGAAGCATACACCCCACTGAGTGCAGAGCCAGACAAAGGGCTCAATCCCAGTACCCTGAGTCATGACCTGAGCCGAAGTCAGATGCTTAACCAACTGAGCCACCCAAGCACCCCAGAGTTTATTCTTTCACATAATAGAAAGTAACACATGAGCCGACTTAAGATACAGCTGTTAAAAAAAAAAAAAAAAAGTCTTTGTGAGGACATAAAACAGAACTGAAAAAGTCCACAGCCCTGGGAAGACCTATTTCAGACAGGCTAAATATTCTGCTTAAGATTACAGAGTATTAGGAGTACAGCTGAAATTCAAACCCAGTTTGACTCCAACACCTAAGCCCTAAATATCTTTAAACCAACATGCAAAGCTCTTGATCAAGATAAGCACTAGTGTGATAACAGGAAGAGAAGCAAAGATTTTATAGACAGATTGTGTTTAAGTTTTGTTTTGTTTTTTAAAGATTTTATTTATTTATTCATAGAGACACACGGGGTGTGTATGTGGGGGGAGTGAGAGGCAGAGGGAGAAGCAGGCCCCATGCAGGGAGTCCGATGTGGGACTGGATCCCGGGTCTCCAGGATCACACCTCAGGCTGCAGGGGGCGCTAAACCGCTGGGCCGCGGGGGCTGCTCGCGTTTAAGTTTTGAATCAGGCGTTTGGTAGTCAAATAATGGGTAAGTCACTTAACCTTATGGCCTCAGTCCCTTCATCTGTAACATATACAGTATTTCCTTCCTGCCCCAAAGAGTAATTATGAGGCTTAAATAAGATCATATGAAAGTACTCTGTAACCTGTAAAACACCTATTAAGGTTCTGGTCCTGAAAGATAAATTACTAAATATCTGTTCAATGAATAAACAAATACACAGTGATTTAAAAAGGTATTTTTTGTTGTTGTTGGTTTTTTTTTTTTTTTTTTGGTAATATGTCACATGCTCTTCTTGAGCCAACCAGGCACACCCCTATAAGTGATCTAATATACATGTTGGCAGCCCAGAACCAGTCAAGAATTTGAGAAGCAGGTTCTTCTGACAAGCTTGGACACTATCAAAGTTCAAAGTGAATTATAAGCGTATGAGAAAAAAACAAAAACACAAAGATAAAAAAAATTAGAAAAAATAAACAGGGAAGAACAAAACTGCATGAGAAGAAAAGGCAAAAAAGATAATTATTAAAAATTCTATTAGCTATAGGAGTGCCTGGCGGGCTCAGTCAGTGGAGCATGCAACTCTTGATCTCAGGGTTGTGAGTTCAAGCCTCACATTGGATATAGAGATTACTTAAGAATAAAATCTTTAAAAGAAAAAAATTTTTTTACAGATTTATTTATTATTCATGAGAGACACACAGAGAGAGGCAGAGGGAGAAGCAGGCTCCCTACAGGGAGCCCGATGCAGGACTTGATCCCAGTACGCTGAGATCACGACCTGAGCCAAAGGCAAACGCTCAATCACTGAGCTACCCAGGTGCCCTGAAAAAAAATTCTATTAGCTATCCTTCTAAAGCACAAATCTATCATAAATCCCATATTTAAAAATCCTTCAGGGGCACCTGGATGGCTCAGCTGGTGAAGTGTCTGACTCCTGATCTCAGGTCAGGTCGATCTCACGGTCATGAGTCTAAGCCCAGCTTTCCCTAAGCCTACTTAAGGGAAAAAACAAAAAAACAAAACAAAACAAACTTGACCTTCAATGATTCTTACTCAGCTACTATAATGATTTTCATACTTTTGTTGACCTATGGAATATTTCGCTTAAATAATAACTTAGGACAAAGCTTAATATATAAAACAGGTAAACACCAGTTTTCTAGTTCAAGGACCTTTTTTCATTTGGTTTCAGGAGGATCCAGAGACCTCCTTCTACACTGCTCCATATCCAATGATCCCTAAGAAGGTTCTACAAGACCTTAATTTGGAAACCACCATATCTTGGGATGCCTGGGTGGGTCAGTCGTTGACCATCTGCCTTTGGCTCAGGGCATGATTCCAGGTCAAGGGATCAAGTCCCACATCCGGCTCCCTCTGGGGAGCCTCATTCTCCCTTTGCCTATGTCTCTGCTCCGTCTCTGTGTCTCTCGTGAATAAATAAAATCTTAAAAAGAAAAAAAAATCACCATATTTCAATTTTTTTTAGGTCTCTTTATTTTTTTTTAAAGATTTTATTTATTTATTCATAGACACAGAGAGAGAGGCAGAGACACAGGCAGAGGGAGAAGCAGACTCCATGCAGGGTGCCCGATGTGGGACTTGATCCCAGGTCTCCAGGATCACACCCCAGGCTGCAGGCAGCGCCAAACCGCTGCACCACCGGGGCTGCCCCCATATTTCAATTTTATTTTTTATTTTTTTTAATTTTTATTTATTTATGATAGTCACAGAGAGTGAGAGAGAGAGGCAGAGACACAGGCAGAGGGAGAAGCAGGCTCCATGCACCGGGAGCCCGATGTGGGATTCAATCCCGGGTCTCCAGGATCGTGCTGTGGGCCAAAGGCAGGTGCTAAACTGCTGCACCACCCAGGGATCCCCATATTTCAATTTTAATACACACATCGTTTTCATTTTAACATCTCTAAAGTCAAGATGTATCTTTTAATCAATGGTACCTTAATGTTATGCCACAGATTAACAGGCATTTTTTTTAGTACACAAAATAAGTGGTATGTCCCCAATTAACCCAATCTTAGATTAGAAGAAATACTATAGTTGGCCTATGAAGCTCTTCACAGTGACTACTTTTCTAGTCTTATTTCCTATCCCGTCCCCAACGCATTGTACATCCAATCACACTAAATGACCTCCTTTCCTGGTATGTCACCATGCTTTCAGGTCTCTGCGCCTTTGTACATGCTGTTTCTTTCTGTCCCCCTAGACTCTGAGAAGCCTTTCCTGACTTCCTCTGTTCCTCTGGCAATTATTTAATCCCTCTCCTTGGCTTGCACAGCACTCATGAGAACTCTATGAAGTGACTGCTATTGCTTATACCTATTGCTTTGATTGGTCTTTTCCACTAGACTTCAGTATAGAAAATGGGTCTTATTCATCTTTGAAGCTCCAGCACTTAGAACCTACAAGACACTCAATAAACCTATGATGAAGGAACTGTTGAGAACAAGTCAAGGGATGCCGACTCTTCAAGTATGTCTTACCTTCTCTGTAGGATAGGCCCTGGCTTGAACTTTTTTTATCAGAGCTTGTATTTGTGCAGTTACAGCCATCACCTGAAATTATCCATATAAAACAACTGATGAGAATACGCTCAGTCATCTTTTTGACTTATGAAGGGCAAAAGCTAAACAATGACGCCTAAAAATTACCGGAGACATTGCCTAAAATGCAGGACTACCTTCTTTTCAGTTCTGGGAAAGGACACGATAGATGATTTTTAATACTGTAGCAAAAAAGTATTAAAAAGTTCCACCTCTTCTTAAGGATACAGAAACTATCTTACCAGACTATGGGGAGGGGATGGGAAGTGGGACAGTGATGGTGGTGGGGTGAACTACCTTATGTACCTTTATCTGTACTGTTTGAGTTTTTTGTGGGTTTTTTTTTTTTTTTTGAGATTTTATTTATTTATTCATGAGAGACACAGAGAGAGAGGGAGAGACATTGGTAGAGGGCGAAGCAAGCTCCTCGCGGTGAGCCGGATGCAGGACCCAATCCCGGAACTCCAGGATAACACCCCCAGCCAAAGGCAAACGCTCAACCACTGAACCACCCAGACGTCCCTGTACAGGTTGAGCTTTCTATCAGTACACTTGGGTACCCAAGGGGCAAATCATACCACTTTTCCCAGCATAGGTTTCCTTAGCTTTAAGAATAGAGGAAATTCATCCAGATGACTTCTTTTTGGAGTTTTCTGTATTGCTTTGGATGCAGGAATCAATTACTTTGAATTCTAGCCTGAGAAGGTTTTCATTAAGTCACTTGGCTCTCATGGTATTTGGTACCATTCAATACATGCCCTCATACGACCAAAGTTTAGAGGTGAAGCACACAAAATCAAAGCCAATCCGTCACTAAACCGTCCCAGGTGACATGACTCACCTGCTCCTGAAGGTTTTTCAAAAGTGTGACGGCACTTGGCAGGTCTGACTCCAGCATCTCCTATGAGAGAAAGATGGAGAATTAAGAAAGGCCCCTTTGTCAGAATTATGAGAGGAATGGGCTGTGGGGTGGAAAACCCTCCTCTTTCCCTCAGACACCTCACACTTCCGACATTGCCACTCCACTCCACATGCAGCCGCGCTTCACAGCCGGCCAGTCGTCCGGGTTTCTAGGAAGAGCGGTAGCTTCAGCTCCGTCACCCTACTGCTGCTCTCACCCTGCTGTGCCAGGTGGTTACTTCCTTTCATCAGCCCCCTTCCCTTGCGCCAACAATTTGCCCAGAGCCGCTGAAGGTGTAGGAAGAGGCCACAATAGCAACGTAAAGAAGCAAACTCACAGAACTCTCGGGGGCCGCCATCTCCACAAAGCCCGCCTCTTCCGGGGCGGTACTTTCTGAGCTAACTTTGTGTTATAGACTTGATAGACAATCGCCGCTTGCAAATCTGAGCCAATAGGAATAGTGATCCCTCCCTTCCGTTCCGAACAGGAAGTGCAGGAGGAAGAGCCACATCCAGCCAATAGAATGGAAGAACTAACTAAATTCGTCAGCTTCAGGGGGAAACCTAAGGACGTAAAAAATGCTCGTGGAAATGGGGCGCGTGATTCGTAGATTGGGCGGAATGTTTGGAGTTAAGCCAATAGAAACGAGGCAAGTGACGGACCGACAGTCAGAGAGGGCCAATAGCAAGAAGAAGTTTGCAGAGCGAACTGAGAAAGTATTGGCTTCCAGACGCCGCAGGACCGAATCGTTTTCACGACGCTGTCCTCGCGTGGCCAAAAGTGACCGCTAGGCGGCAGTCCTCGGCGTCTCAGAGGTAGCTGGGTGGCCGATCCGCCCGTGCGGGCTGCTGCTCCAATGCAGGCCTCGCGCTTGTTCTCAGACTGCGCGAGATTCCTCAGACCGCAGGGCCCTCGGGTCGGCTTTGTGACCGTTGTCTCGTGTGACCCTGGAGAAGTCCCTCTGTCTCTGAGCTTTTCTTTTCTTCTATAACACCTCCTCGTCGTGTGCAGAGGGGGCGCTGGGGAAAGACCCTCCCCCCCATATGCCACTCCAGCGCGCCTCACCCCTACCCGTTTAGGGGACTGGGGACCTGTAAAGCTCGGCTTACAAATGAGGAAGCCAGTTAGGATTGACGTGACTTGCCCCCTGTCACACACAGGTTCGCAGCAGCATTTGGTCCAAATCCAGCTTGTGTTTCATTGTGCCCTGCCTCATCTTTTCTCAGTATTTCAAAATATGACAACTCATTCCTGCTTCTCACAGGCTGATAAAGTGAAATGGGTCGGTATTCACAGCTTCCATCATCTGCCATAAGAAATAAGCGCTGCAAAGGTTAATAATGGTCTTGACAATTGGTCTTTCCAGGGCGAGGTGACATCGAACTACGAATCAGATCTCCTGACTTGGAACCGTATCTCAGGCAGAGTGGGAAGGTACTGGTTTCTAAATCTTTGGCTGGACTCTAAGGGTTGCATCCAGTCCCCCCCCCCCCCCCCGTGCCTCTTAACATTGGTTTGCTGCCTCAGGCCCACCATGGAAGCTCAAGGGTGCCTCAACAGCCTATTCGTTCTTTTTTTTTTTTTAAGCTTTATTTATTCATGAGAGACACACAGAGAGAGAGAAAGAGAGAGAGAGGCAGAGACATAGGCGTAGCGAGAAGCTGGCTCCTCACAAGGAGCCCGATGTAGGACTCGATCCCGGATCCCAGGATCACGATCTGAGCCGAAGGCAGGCACCCAACCCGAGCCACCCAGGCGTTCCCAGCCTATTCATTCTATCAACCAATAATCTTTGTACTGTTTGTCAGGATTATGAAAGTTGACATTTCAACATAAATTCTCATACTTGTTAGGTCACAAATAAGCTTTTCCTTTCCTTGAACTTGAAACTAATCTGTTCATATGCATTGTGATGTCAGTGAGGAAACAAATATGCTGTTTTGTTTTGATTATTAATTACTTGCCATTCTTTCGTAAGAAAATCTTGGAGTTAACAGTGAAGTACGTCTTTTTTTTTTTTTTTCTTCATGACAGAATGAGAAGCAGAGACACAGGCAGAGGCAGAAGCGGGCTCCCGTAGGACTCAATCCCAGGTCTCCAGGATCACACTCTGAGCGGAAGGCAGCCCTAAACCACTGAGCCACCCTGGCTGCCCTGAAGTAAATCTTTGTAAAAGTTTTCCAAGACTCAACCAACACGTATTGGTAAAGAACACATCATTAAATTTATTGTTTTCTATTTCTTTCAGCAATTTCATAAACTGTCAGTCATTAATATTTGCATGCACTGTAATTCCTATCCATTCCTCTAAATAAAAGGACATGTATTTTTTTTTTTTTTTGCTCTGACTTCTTTCAGAATTTTTCTCTTTGGTTTTTGCAGTTCGAATATGATATCTCTAGGTATAGGGGTTTTTTGTTTTTCTTTCTTTTTTGTTTGTTTTCCTATCTTTGAGGGTTTTTTTTGTTTGTTTGTTTATTTGGTATGTATCCTGCTTGGTGTTTTCTTTCTTTCTTTTTTTTTTTTAAGATTTTATTTATTCATAGAGACACAGAGAGAGAATGAGAGGCAGAGACACAGGCAGAGGGAGAAGCAAGCTCCACGCAGAGAGCCTGAGGTGGGACTTGATCCAGGGTCTGCAGGATCACGCCCTGGGCTGCAGGCGGCGCTAAACCACTGCGGCAGCAGGGCTGCCCTGCTTGGTGTTTTCTAATCTAAGTTTCAGGTTTGGTTTGGTTTCTGTCATTAATTCTGGAAATTTTTCAGCCATTATTATGTCAAGTACTTATTCTCCTTTATCTCTTTTTTCTACTTTTGGCATTCCCATTATGCGTGTGTTACAACTTCTGAAATTGTGCCACAGTTATTGGATATTCTGTTCCTTTTTTTTTTCATTTCTTTTTTCTCTTTGTATTTTAGTTCAAGAAGCTACTATTGACATTTCTACAAGCTTACTGATTCTTTCATCAACCTTTGTATAGTCTACTGATAAGACCATCCAAGGTATTCTTACTTTTTGTTAGCATTTTTTACTTCTAACATTTCCTTTTTATTCTTTTCAATTGTCTCCATCTCTACATTACCCATCTTTTCTAGCATGTTGTACACTTTTTTTTATTAGAGCCATTAGCATATTAATCATAGTTATTTCAAACTCCCTGTCCAGGGGCACCTGAGTGGTTCAGTCAGTTGGGTGTCTCTCAGGTCATGATCCCAGATGCCTGGGATGGAGCTCGGCATTGGGCTTTCTGCTCAGCCAGCAGTCTGCTTCTTCCTCTCCCTTTGCCCCTCTGTCCACTTGTGCATATGCTCTCTTTCTCTTAAATAAAAAAATTAAATTAATAAATAAAAAATAAAATCCCAGTCCAATAATACATTAATCATGTTTTTAATTTTCTATATATGATGATGCTTTGACATCATAGGGGCCTTGCTAATCCTGGAAAGACTGCCCTTCCCTGAGCTAGCTAAATTCTAAAGGTAAACCCACCTTTCTTTTTTTTTAAATTTTTAAAAAAGATTTTATTTATTTATTCATGAGAAACACAGAGAAAGAGACAGAGGCAGAGAGAGGAGCAGGCTCCACGTGCAGGATGCCCAATGTGGGACTCGACCCCGGGTCTCCAGGATCACGCCCTGGACTGAAGGTGGCGCTAAACCGCTGAGCTACCGGGGCTGCCCAGAACCCACCTTTTTTCTTCTTTCTTTCTTTCTTTCTTTCTTTCTTTCTTTCTTTCTTTCTTTCTTTCTTTTTCTTCTTTCTTTCTTTCTTTCTTTCTTTCTTTCTTTCTAGATTTATTTATTTATTTATGAGAGAGAGAGAGAGAGAGGCAGAGACACAGGCAGAGGGAAAAGCAGGTTCCATGCAGGGAGCCCAACGCGGGACTCGATCCCGGGACTTGATGCGGGACTTGATGCGGGACTCCAGGATTGCGCCCTGGGCCAAAGGCAGGTGCCAAACCGCTGAGCCACCCAGGGATCCACTAAACCCACCTTTCTTATGCAAACCACTCAATCCAAAGTCCATGTCTCCATCCATTTCCTTTATCTCTTAATATCAAGCCAGTATTTCTCCTGCTCTAAGTGACCCCAGGGACAGGTACATAGACAACTAGAGACCACCACTATAACCAAAAGCTCACTACAAATCATTCAAATTAACCAATCCTAAGATGTTTGCCCTGTCCTGTCTTGCATTTACCACAGAAGATACAATAAAGGATTGTGTTTATGCTTTCTTTTGTCCTTTTGCCTCCTGACTGGCTCTGGTGCTCCCCTGTGTGTCCCTGTGTCTCATAGCATGCCCCCTCTTCTCAGGGATTGTGAGTAATGAACTCTTCTTTCAAGGCCATTTACTCTGTTCTCTTACCATATCTGATTAAAACAAAATCCTGGGAACATGTATGTTCCCTGCCGTGTATGAATCTGGTTCTCATGTTGCTTTGTCTCCTCAGATTTGGGGGGTCATTTTTTGTTACCTTTTTAGCATGAATTGTAATTTTTTCTTAAAAACAGGTAACGATGTACTAGATAATAGGAACTGAGGTGGATAGGTCTTTCATATGAGATTTTATGCTTATCTGGCTAGGAGTTAGGCTGTGTTTACTGTTTGCTATAGCTGTAGGTGTCAGAGATTTCAATTTCCTCTGATGTCCTTTTTGTCTCCTCCATTGTCTTTGGTTTCCCTTGAAACTCCTTCTTAAACAGAATCCAAGCCTTTCAATTCTTTCAGCTATAACCCACTGTTATTACACAGGAGTCCTATTGATATGGTGATAAGGTGAAAGGGAAAGCATCCTATCATCCTATGATTGGATCTCAGTATTCTAGTGGGCCTTTGTCCCTGGGCTGTGACCTTCATGAGTGCCTCTCAGGTTTTTTTTCCCCCTTATGTGAGACAGGAAGACTGGAGGGGTCTGGAGTTGGGTAATCCCCTGCCCCAAAGTCATGTATGGCTTTGGTGAAGGCTTTTTCCTTGCTGGATAGGCTTTTGTTATGGAGAAACCTCTGAGCTTATTTAAAAATCGTTACATTACCTTCCCTTGGCCAAACATGAGGGGATTTTTCTCTAGCCTTCACCATGAGAACCTTGTGGGGCTCCTGGATGTAAACTCCACAAAAGTCAGGAGCTCACCTTAGACTGGACTCTTAGGAGTTATTAACTCTCCAACTACCCACACTCAGCCTCTGGCAAGTCTTCAGTTATCATTGAAGTGTTCCTATCAGTTATTGGCTCCAGCAGCTCCTGACTTTTGTCTGTATTCACCTACCTCTCCAGTTTTTAGGGTGGCAGTTTGTTATGTGACCTCAATTCTCTGATGGAACTAAAACTTTGTAGTTATTCATATCAGCCTTTTTCTTGTTGTTAGGATGGGAGAGATGACTTACAAGCTATTTATATGTTGTAAATAAAGTACCCTTGGGATGCCTGGGTGGCTCAGTGGTTGAGCACCTGTCTTTGACTCAGGGTGTGATCCCGCAGTCCTGGGATCGAGTCCCACACTGGGCTCCCTGTGTGGAGCCTGCTTCTTCCTCTGCCTGTGTCTCTGCCTCTCTCTCTGTATCTCTCATGAATAAGTAAAATAAAATCTTAAAAAAAAAATTCCTCTCACCAGATTCTTCATCAGCAATATGCCTTCATTTTAAACTTAAAAATGTTGTCCATGCTTATCTTTCAACTAGAAAAGTGATTTGTATTTTAACTAAATAAGTACTAAAATTTAGTTACCACTTACGATCTACATAGATATCACTGTAACTGTGCCATCTGCATAAAATACTCAAACACGTTATAAAGTTACATCAATATGATTGAACAAATCAGTCTTTTGACACCAATTAGGTTGGCGGTGTGTTTAGGGATAAATACTGGACATAACACATGCTCTTAATATGTATACTACAGTATAACAATATCTTATGTTTACTAGTTAAAATAATCCTACCAAAAGAATAAAGCCATATTGAAAATTGGTATAGCCCTTATGGAAAATATTATGGGTTTTCCTCAAAAAGTTAAAAGTAGAACTACCTTACCATCCAACAATTGCACTGCTAGGTATTTACCCAAAGAATATAAAAATGCTAATTCAGAGGGATACATGCACCCTAATATTTATAGCAGCACTATCTACAATAGCCAAATTATGGAAAAAGTCTAAGTGTTCACTGACTGATGATGGGTGGAGCTAAAGAGTATAATGCTAAGGAAAATAAGTCAGTCAGAGAAAGACAAATACTATATGATTTCACTCATATGTGGAGTTTAAGAAACAATACAAATGAGCAAAGGGAAAAGAGAGAGAGAGAGAGAGAGAGAGAGGCAAACCAAGAAACAAACTTTTAACTATAGAGAACTAACTGATGGGCACCAGAGAGGAGATGGTTGGGTGGGGGAGTGGATTAAATAGAGGATAGGGATTAAGGAGTGGACTTGTGATGAGCATCAGGTGTTGTATGGAAGTGTTGTATACCTATATTGTACACCTGAAACTAATATTACACTGTGTTAAGTAACTGGAATTTAAATTAAAACTAAACAAAAGAACAAAGCTGTATTTTGTAGAAAAGCTGTCTACACTGCTTTAGTTTTTTAAAAAGAGTTTTATTGAGGTATAATTTATATACCATAAAATTCACCTGTTTTAAGTGTGTAATTCAATAACTTTTAAAGAAAATTTACAGAGTTGTACAATTATCACCACAACCCAATTTAGAACATTCCCATCATTCCAAAAGGATCCTTCATGCCCATTTGCAGTTTATCATCATTCCTGTTTATAGCCTTAGGCAATCACTGCTTTCTTTCTTTATAGATTTTCCTTAACTATACATTTCATATATATGAAATCATATAGTATGTAGACTTGTTCATCTGGCTTCTTGCACTAAGCATAATGATTCTGAGTTTCATCCATATTTTAGCATATATCAATACTTCATTTCTTTCTTTTTTTTTATATTTTATTTATTTATTCATGAGAGACACAGAGAGAGAGAGGCAGAAACACAGGCAGAGGGAGAAGCAGGCTCTACACAGGGAGCCCGACGTGGGACTCGATCCTAGGTCTCCAGGATCATGCCCTGGGCTGCAGGCAGTGCTAAACCGCAGTGCCACCAGGGCTGCCCCTACTTCATTTCTTTTTATTGCTGAATAATATTCCCTTATGTAGATATACACATCTTATTTATCCATTCATCAAATAATGAACATTTGGATTATTTCCACTTTGGGGCTATTATGAATAATGCTGCTATGAACATGTTTATGCAAGTGTTTATGTGGATATATACTTCCATTTCCATTGGGTAATTAGAAGTAGATGGCCAGGTCA